GCTCCATACAAACTGGTGCCTGTTATGCTCACGTCTTTTTCTTATCCTCATTCTCCACATGTTCTCTTCTCTTTTCAAGCCTCCCATCCTACCATTAACTGCCTCTGAAAACCTGCTGCAGGGTCAGCAGTGAGTCAGTTCCAACTTGATGGTACACAACAACAACAACCACACTTCTAGGGAACTCTAGTGGCCTTGTGTTAAGGAGTTGCGCTGGCTACCCAAAGATATGTGGTTCGAATCCATCAGCTGCCCCACAGGAGAAAAATGGGCCATCTCCTCTTGTGCAGTTAACTACACCTCTGAAAACCTGCTGGAAGGTCAGCTTTGGGTCACTCTGACTTGATGGTACACAACAACAACAACAACAACTGCTGAGGTTCTTCCTTCATATACCATTGAGCACTGAAAACTGTTAACACCCAAGCCATTTCCAAAGCTATAAAACTACCTACTGTTTCCTATTACAGTAGACAGTGAACCCAGAGTTTACTTTTCTGTTACCAGCTTATCGGACTGCTCAACATCATTCAATACTATTTATAGTGCTTCCTCAAATCAGTCTTCTTTCTTAGCATCCAGAACTTCACACTGGTTTTATTACTGCCTTCCTTTCTGGTGGCTCACTCTAATTTCTTTTACTACTTCCTCCTTTAACCTGGATAATAGTCTTTCTTAGGATCTTGTCCTGGAACTTCTTTTCTCTCTACACTACCTCCTGAGAGGCTGAATTCCATTGGCTTTAAATGTAATCTTTATTCTAATGGATCCCTCTCTCAGGTGGTAGGAAGACTAACAACAGCGGACTCTCTTTGTTGATCAAGGCTTGATAGACAGCTACCTATGTAAGATCCTACATAGGCATGTCTCAACCTGGGCGTAATTTGTCCTAAAGGAAACTCTGATGTTGCATTCAAGTTTGTTCTCCCCTGCAACCACTGTGGAAGGTGGTGTGGTGCTTTCTTAAAAAGTTGCAAACAGAAATACCATTTGACCCAGCAATTCCACTACTGGAAATATACCCCAAAGAGACCATAACTGCCACCCAACCAGATATATGCACACCCATGTTTATCGTGGCTTTGTTCACAATAACAAGGAGTTGGAAACAACCTAAGTGCCCATCAACAAACGAATGGATAGAGAAGCTGTGGTATATTGGCACAATGGAATACTATGCTG